CGGCCCTGCGGCCCGGGGCCCCGCCGCCGGCCCCTTACCCAGGCAGGTGACGCCGTCCGGGGCCAACATCTGGTCCTCGGCGCAGGCGCACTGGCGGCTCCCGGGGGTGGCCAGGCACAGGCTGCTGCAGCCCCCGTTGTTCACTCGGCATTTGTTGGTTCCCACTGCAAAAGGGGTGCGGGGGGCCGGGCGAGGGGAGGGTGGGGCGGGTGGGCAGGGGTGGCCAGAGAGGGAGACGGGAAGACGGGCGGGGGAGCATCAACGTGAGGCCGCGGGCGGGGGAGCGGAGCGGAGAGGTGGGGTGGGGCCCAGAGCACCAGCGGGGTGCGGAGGTGTCCCGGGGCACCCCAGGCTCACCGGGCCGCCCGCCCCACCCCGTACCTTGCTGCTGCTGGGCGTCGTACATGCGGATCTCAAAGATGGGGGGCCGCTCGCTGCGCAGGAGCGTGACGGTGGGCGGGGCGCCGTCCGGGCCCCGCTCCAGGCGGTACACGCTGCCGCTCCGGTACTCGGTCCAGAAGAGGTAGTTGCCGTGGTGGCACAGGCCGAAGGCGTGGTTCAGCTCGGGGCCCTCATAGACGATCTGGGGGCGGGGGCAGGTGACCACCGGGCGGCGGGCACAGGGGCGCCCCCCACGCCTCCGTGGGCGTCGGTGAGGACACAGCCCTGGGGCCTGTGCCCGCCGGCCTCTCCCGTGCCACCCCGCCCAGCCACAGCCACGCCGTCAGCCGAGGGCCACGCGCAGGAGGTGACCCCGAGCCGGGCGCCGCGGAGTAGCGGGGTGGCCGGGCAGACGGAGCGCGGTGGCCATGCGGGAGGGCAACAGCCGGCCGAGACGCCAGCTGCCCGGCCAGTTTGCGCCAAGACACGGGCCACGGGGACCGAGGCCACGGAGGTGGCCAGGCCAGCTCATCGAGGGTCTGCGGGCGCAGAGGCGGCCCCCGCCCGGGCGCACCCTCAGGTCAGAGCTCGGGGCACGGCCACCACGGGCCCAGGCGCCGGTGACCGCAGCACACACAGGCTCGCAGCGCGGCCCGCACCCCCGGACACGGCCGCCCCCACGGCCTCTGCGCTCGCAGCCCACCTTGCGGTCCGTGCCGTTGAGCAGTATGGTCTCGATGCGGTCGTAGAAGGCGTCCACCCAGTACAGGCGCCCCGCCGGGATGTCCAGGCTCAGCCCGTTGGGCCAAAGCACCGTCTTGGAGGTGACGAAGACGTCCCGGTGCGAGCCGTCCATCCAGGCCCTCTCCAGCCGCCCTCGCCGACTGTCCTTGGGGTCCTCCTCCCAGTCTGTCCAGTACATCCACCTGTGGGAGCGAACGGTCAGCCTCCGGCTCCCGATCCAGGCACGCAGGCCGGCCCCTCGCGGGGTTCCAGTCTTCGTCCGCTCAGCAGCTGTGCCGAGGCCCCCCCGGGAGCTGGGCACGGTCCAGCACGCAGGGCGCCAGCGCAGCTGGGCAGGCCGGGCCCCTGCTCCTGGACCGGCTCTTTCGTCCCGCCCGGCAGACGGACAAGGGGACGGGTCCACTGAGTCACGCTGCAGAGCGACAGCCAGGAAGCAATGAAGCAGGTGACTTCGTGGACAGTGGCCAGGCCGGTGGGGTGACGCGGAAAGGGGGGCGGGGAGGGCCTCTCTGAGGAGGGGGCATGTGAGTTGAGGTCTGGATGCTTCAAGGAGCTGGACTGGCAGGTACTGGGGTGTTCGGGCCAGAGGAACCCCAAGAGCACAAGGCAGAGCGAGCTGTGGTGTTAGAGGGCAGGAGACACGATTCGAGGTACAGTTAAATGAGGTGCAGTCGAGAGGCGAGAGCTGCAGGGGGCTCGGGACCCCACGTCTGGGAAGCCACGTGGGTCTCACTCAAGGGCCGGGGCGCCAGGGGCGGGGCACAGGCCCGGGCTCCCGCTGCTCCCGCGGCCGGACAGCGTCTCCCTGAGCCTCCTCCTGCCCCAGCTCCCCGCCTGTCCGCCGCCTCACCCCCAGTCTGCGGGTGGTCCGGGGCTCCCGGCCAAGGCCCAGGGCGGACTCACCCGTTGAGCGGATCCACCACAATGGCCCTGGGGTGCGTCATCTTGCCCTCGATTAAGGTCTTGCGGGTCTGGGCAGCCTTCTCCAGCCTGGCCACACTGATGGTCTTCTTGGGGCCGTCGTCCGTCCAGTACAGATTGTCCCCCATCCAGTCCACGGCTACGCCTTCCACATTGTGGATGCCTGTGGGGGCAGGTGGACACTCAGGCGCCTGGCTCTGAGCCTTGGCGACGTCTGTTGGGGCGACTCACCGGGCGGGGGCGCGGGAGGTGCCCGGGCCCAGGCAGGCAGGCGGGGACAGGCGGGGGCACGGGGAGGGGGCTGGAGAAGCCGCTGGGCAGCGTGGGCAGAGTGTGCGGGCAGCCCGGGCCCTGACCCTGGGCCGGAAGCACCCACGGGCCAGTGTGACGCCGCAGCCGGGCCCAAAAGCCCTGAACCGACAAGATGAATAAATCAGGAAGTGACTTTTCACTTAGCCAAAGGCTTCGTCTCCACTGTCCTTTAAATAGCAGTCCCCCGGTCTAGGGAACCCCATTTTCCTGACCAGGAGCTACTTTTTGATTTCCCCAAAGTCTTATGATTGCTGACTGGGACGGTTCGCTGGGCCGTGGGGGTGGGGACGGGCAGACCGATGGGCTCCGAGCCCCACGGGGCCGAGCGCGGGGAAGCAGCGGCCCCACACAGATGGACATTCGGAAGGTGGTGCGCTGCCCACCTGCCCGAGCAGTTCAGAGGGAA